GGCAATGGGGAAGCTGAGCAACTTCTGGCCAGGAAGTCATCTCGAAAGCCAAGCAGCAGTGAGCTTCCATTGCAAGACAAATTTCTACGATTTCAGTAATTAATTTGCCATTGCAAACTTTGGTCAGTCAGCAGAGAATCAACCTCGTCATAGTCCGTCTGCTATTTCTGGTGGTTTCTAATTAATTGGACAGCTGTCCGACTAAGCCGACGCATATGGTGATCCTGTGGCCAACTTTGGAGCTCCACCCAATTGGAAGTGGGTTTTTGTGCTCAATTAGCCAGTGACGCTCGTCGGGGCCAAACTTGTGATGATGACGACCCAAAACCTCAAACCCGCACCCTTTGCCATTAATTTAACTCGTTGGCGTTGACTTTTATTTGGACATTTGTTGGGCTTCGCAGCCTAATTAATTGTATTCGGACATGCAAAACTGTCGAAATCGCATGCAAATGTCGGGGGTCACTCTTCGGTCAAATATTTCGATCCAATCAGAGGGAAACCTTTGGCGCTGATTGCATTCCACTCGCTCCTTACCTGACTTTTTTTTCTGGCCAAACAACCGAGCGATTAATTAAAAATTCAAATGACTGGACTGAAGTTAAATAGATACCGTGAAGTAATCTGAATGTCAGCAGCAAAGGCAAATCAAATGAAATAACGATTGAACAGCCAGAGCTACTCACTCTGAATAAACGAGAGAGAAACTGGGTGAAATGCAAACTTTTCCGACGTCATTTTTAATGAATTTTCAACAAAATGTGCCAAACGTGTTGAACGATGTTGCAGCGCAGGATGGGATGAAAAAATCGCAATTAAAAGCCGTGGCCGAGCAAAAGCACCGGAAGAGGATCCGGCAGACGATTGGCGATTGCAAAAACCACCAAGTCCTTCTTTCACCATTTCGCCCAAATTGATAATAATTTGCACTGTGATTGGGCGGCAATGGCGAAAGAAAGCGAAAATCTGAAAGGAGAAAATCGCTTCGAGCGAGGGTAATTAAAAAACGCCGACCGAAGGTCAATATGTCGCAGCTAATGGAAATTGTGCAGGGCGAACACTAGATTCCCTAAGCAGCTAGGTCCTTCAATATTAAAGGTGAAAAACAAGGCGGTTTGAATAACAAATTAATTTTGAACGACAACTTTCTAGGACTCCCAGGACTAAACCAAACTCCCATTCGTTTTCCCTTAGGTCCACAATACCCTGTGAAAAAGGCTAAGAACGGGGCATATGCGTTATCCGACTATGCTATAATTCTCCAAATTGTGCGATGGGCAACTATACAGATTGTACTTTCATTTGTATTTGCCCTCTAAAAAATATGTACACATTCCAACAGATCAACTGATACATTTTTCTATAATACAAATAATAATGTGGTTGCAGAGGGGATCAGTTTTAAAATGGAAAGTTGAAGACACTGGTTTTAATATCTTATACAAAGTCAAGGTCAATTTGTCAAGATTCCAAATTATTAATCAATTATTGAACCAATATAAAAAAGGTAATCAACCTCAGACAAATGCACTTGGTCTACAGAATTATGCATAGTCTTTTGAACTTAACATACGTTAAAACATCACCAAAATAATTATTAAAATTTTGCAGTTACAAAGGGCATCAACTTCGTTTAGTACTCCCTCACAAAGTTGTCGGCTTGTTTTGTTATTATATTATTTGCAACAAACAAAAGCATCTCTTGCGGCTCTTGCTTGGCTAAAATCAACTTCTGCAGCTGACTTTTGAGCGAAAACTTTTGCTTAAAGCTGTAAAAGCGAAAAGGGGCCGTTGGTTAGCAGGAAGAGTCGGAGGCGGGGCAGTGGCCAAGGAGCAAGTACGAAGGAGCAGAGCGCGGCATCGCCACAAATCTTAAGTGAAAATAAATAATTCACACCTGCAGCAATCTGAGGGATGGCAGCCAGTGGTACACACACACTAAGATAGACACACAATTACCAACTTGCGGTGTAAAACTTCAGTTTCAAACTCACGGCTAAATTGCGGTTTAAAGTTGATGGCAGGAGCAGGAGCTATTGCAGATAACAATAGCAACAACTGACCTCGACGCGGAGGTGGCACAATTACGCCATTAACATTAACTAAAGGCGGGTGAACAGAGATTCAGCGAATTCACAACAGGCAGCAACAATGCCAGGAGCCAAAAAGTTTTATTTTCTAAGAAATTAAGACTTAATTGGTAAAAACAGCAGCAACAACAAAGACAGCGCCAGCAGACAATAAAGACGAGAGCTCGAGATATTGAGGGGTGGCTGGAAAAACCAACATCAATGAAAAGTTTAAGCAAAACAATAGCAGGCGAGTAAACAACGTCGATGAATGTTGCTTGAGTGCTCTCAAAAAGCCGAGAAGCAAGCAGCGTTCGAGTATGAGTGTATACAAAAGCCAATGTCCCTGTATATATATCTGTATATATATATATATATATATATATTAAATGTGTGTATAAGAAGCTTTGGCCCCAGCAGAGTAGAGCTCTGCAATAGTTGTTACTCATACGCCATGTTGAACACAGCAATAAATCGGTAACACAGAAAACCAATAAAGAGAGCAAGTCATATAGTTCCAAGGGGTCCTCCAGACTATAAGCGCAATTAAAATATATCCACAAAAATATTGAAGTGCTAGACAAACAGCAACAAAGGCGACAAAGCCAAGCGGAGCTGTTTAATTATTGTACGACAAAAAAAAAATACTAACTGCTGGCCAGAGAAGACGGCAAATTGAAGACATTAAAACTTTTAATAGCTTAGGCGGCCTTATCAAGGCTACAGAAGCACAGACATGCAGAGACAATACAAATTAAAATATGTCTCACAGGCACAAGATATAACAGAATAAACAACAAGAACAGCAATAAGAACGGGGCGAACAACAATATAGCCATAGCCAACATTAATAATATCAGTCAGCTCGGCTGGCGACGTAATTATACACAGATTTACTGAACTTGCCGAGAAATTACCTTGAACCGCCAGACTTGTTCTAAAAATACAAGTACGCCATTTCAAAACAGAGCCTTCGGTGAACAATTTACATAAGCAATGCACATTCACATTCACATTGCGCATACGCCTCGTTGCCCCCAAGTTGAAAACCAAATTTTTTCCGCCAGGCTCATTGCGTTGATTTTGTTTTTCAGCTGGCCAACTGAAAATGCAAAATGCGGTCATGTTGTTGCTGTTTATGAGGCTCATAAAGTACGCGACCCAAAGTAAGTAATAATCGCCGGCATTTGCCATATTTCACAGGGAAATAAACTGCTTGGGGGCGGTTTAGGGGATGCTTCGGCCAAGGTCAGGCAACAGAAATGTCATTTAGCAATTACATAACTGGGTAAACTGGCAGCACGGGGTGGTCCCATCTAAGTATTTGCGCAAAAAGTCGCTGTCGAACTGTGCGCAATACTCAATGTCAGGCAATTTCACATCAAATTTGGCGTCAATATCAATTACCAGGACGAAGGCACGCCAACTGGCCGGAAATGAAGGCATTTGTCAAAGCTCACAATGGCTGGCGAATAATTGCAAAACTAGCAACATGACAATCCGATGGCAGAAGGGGAAAACGACGAACGGAAGGCTTCCGAGGACATGACCAGGCTCCTTTAGCTTCGAATGAAGGCCTTCGAAATTTATCTGCGTTCAATTAAAAACTTTTCAAATTTCAATTAAATGTGAAATTGGCATATTTAGGCGCTTGATGAACGAAAGGAGGACCAACCGACGAATGAAGGACCGGTCGAAACGGAATCAAATGATGGCCATGATGGCCAGAAAAGGACCGGCGCAAGGAAGAGTGGAAGGACCATTTAGCATTCACCATTCGCTCGGCATAACTAAGCTTGGGGGATTATTTTGTCAATTTTAAATGTCCTGCCATTTACAGCATTCAAATTCAACTCGCCTTTGTTGTGCCCCGGCCTGTTGTAGAAATGTTTATGAAGCAATTAGGGGCTCTGAACTGTGAACAATGCGCCGAAATGACTGCAACGGAAATTTAAAGACCCCCCAAACACCCGAAACCTCGGAAGGGTTTTCCGTTGACTTTAAGCATTCTGTCGGCTCATCGTGACTGCAGAAAGATTAGAATCTTGCTACGCCTTGCTTTGGGCCTGATTTGGGCCTTTGTCGTTGCCCCAAAAGATGACTGGCTTTGTTTTTTGGGGAGCCAAAGAGGCGCGGACCTGGAAGAAGTCAACTTGTCATGCTTGGCCCGCCTTGGCTTAGCCATTATCCTTGCCGGGATCTGGGGAGTCCTGTTCCATTACACACTTGCAGTTGGCTTGTTGTTAGCCCCGAACTTAGCACATGTTGCGATGCGCCAAACCAGACAGTTCTGAATGGATTCAGAGCATGCACTCAAAAAAGAAATTTGGTGCGGGTGAAAGATACCCAAGAATCGATATGTGTAGGATGTCTGAATTATGTAAAATTAAGATGGTTACGTTCCTATTACTTAAGCTTCAGTATTGAATTTTATCCACCCGTCTTAAAATTGTAATCATATACATTCCGGACACCAGAAATAACAAGCTAAACTTTTATGATCTAAACTTAAACCCAAAAAGTCTTTTGTTTAGAAATAGTTTGAAAGCAAGCTGTAATAATAATATAATAAATTTATCTATAATAATATAATATTTACATTAAAACTTTTTAGTTATACAAAGAAAATAAGTTTAAAAAAACTTAAAGCTCTAAAGTTACAACGAATATAAGTTAAAGGCTTAACGTAAAGTTTCGAAAACCAAAAGCTATGCGGGTTTGTACTTTTTACCAAGAGATTTTAGTTCATATATCGAATCTAAGGGTGAAATGGATATGTAAGTTAACTAAAAAGAAGTGCCTAATTGAAAAATGTTGAGAGATAAATAATATTACAAATTCAAAATGATTAAGTTAGCTAATGGGAAATAAATTTAAGGAGTCCCAAATAAACTTTATTTTATTTTCTTTTATAGTGTATTTACATCTTACCTTTTCGCGCATTTGGGCGAGCACTTGGACAATGTCGCCCCGCTGACAGGCATACATAAGACTGGTGCAGCCCTCGGCGAGACGCTTTTTTGCGGCGGAGGACTGTGAATGTGACACCCTGAGCTGGCCAGGATCTGGGTGTGATAGGGAGTGTGGGCGGGGATGGGGCTCTGGCCATGGAACTGGCTCTGGCTCTGTTTCTGGCACGTCCACTGCTGCTTCCGCTGCCGCATCCGTGTCCGCATCCTGGCTGCTGCCCGGCATAGCAATGACTTTGTCGGCTGGCTTCTGCCGATGATGCTGCTGCTGCTGAGGATGCTGCTTCTGCAATTCGTCGTCCTGCTGCTTGGCGCGTGTCCTTCGTGGCAGCGGACTCTCGAACTGCAACTGCTTTTTCGCGGCCTTCAGACGCGGCGGCTTGGGCGGACCCGTCACGCGCTTCACTTCCGCTTTCGGACGCTTCTGCATCCTCTAATGCGGTTAGTATCTGACCCGTTTTTTGTCCCTTTTTTCTGCCTGGCTTTGTGTTTGTGTTTGTCGTTGTCTTTGCCGCTTCTGTCGCTGGATTTTTCACTCATTTTACGCCGCTTTGATGCATTTTTTCTCGTTTAATGAATTGCTGGTTGCTGGCCCGGTTGCCTATGTATAATTAAACACTAATTTGTTTGCTCACAACTGGCTTGGTTAGGGCTTCCATGATGCGGGTCCTACTTACCGCCGATAGTTTGCGGTTGCCGTTGACAGTTTCGCTAGTTCAAAGTAAACACATTCTGTGCTCTTGAGCGGAAACGGAAGTGCGGAGTGTGGGTGTGGCGGTGTGCAATGCTTTCACTCGAACGCCTTTTAAATTTTCAACGGGCGAACGCAAAGGCAACATTCGCGGCAACGTCCTCGTCAATAATTAATTTCGGTTTTTATCAAAGAGTGAGCAGCAGCAACAGCAGCATCACACAAACACACACACACACATGTCAACTGGGGAATTGGTTGATGCTCGGGAAGGCAGCGAAATAGACAGCTAGAAGCCAGGGTTCCAGCTTCCCATCGCAACTTCCCAAACCACCCAACCACCCCCTGCTGCGCACAAGGGCGTTGACAGGACCGCGGCGCGTAGCCCGCTAAAGTATGCTATGAAAAATTCACTGTCTCTGCATTTGATTTAAATTTCCCTTTTCACACATAAGCGCCGCACATTTCACGCGATATCAAAGTGAATTTGGCTGTTAAATCGCGTGGAAAATAGTTTTCGAAAAACGCCACCGCAGCCGAACGGAAATTTCTTGCTTATTTTTAGCAACAAATAATAATCATGTGAATGCGCTTCGAGGTGCTCAAGCCAAATCCGCGTGCGAATAAAAAAGAGACTAAAAAAAAAACGAAGAAAATCTGCGAAAACCTATCGGACTGATTGCAACTCGAAATTAAATTATATAAACACAAGAGCTTGAAAGCGAATGCGAATTGGATTGCGAGTGGAGAGGCTCATTGATGGCGATTGCCGGGCATTAAGCTCGATTCGTTTGTTGCCTTTCAGGCGATTTCTCCGCCTTTCCGCCTTCCGCCTGGGATTTACATTTCATTTTCTGCAACTGCCAGTTGCCAGTTGGTGATGGTTTTGGCAAGGTTTACGAGGCGTTGAACATCCCAGGCGAACCAGCTGAAAGCCACGGGCAGACGACAGGCGTCGGGCTTTTAATAAATTAATAATAAAAAAGAGACGCGGCTCGCAGCAGTTGGTCGGGAAGTGCAATAAAATTTAACTTTTCCCCTCCTCCCGGTTTGAAGTTTGAGCTCCATTAGCTGGCGTAGCGGAGAATGATGATACGTCGGCGGAATTCCACACCCAAAAAATGTGGGGATTGCCGTCGATATTCAACTCCTAACAAATTTTATAAAAGCTTCACTGAGTATTATTCACTTTTTACCGTTTTATGTATTTTTAAGGACGAAAATTTCAATAACATTTTTCTTCTTCACTTTTTTTAGTTATTTCTGGCTAAAGAATTTAAAATCCATTGTGTTATGATTTTTCAGGCCATACATATTTTTAAGACAATATCTAATAAAAAAAATCTTTAAAAAACCTGTAAAACAATAAACAACCTTTTTTATCGTATATATACAATTCATTGGTTTTTCCAAGTGTAGAAGAGGCAATAACGAGGCAAGTTTTTTGGCCAATAGAGAAAATTTGAAAATTGAGTGGCATTCGGCAAGTGAAAATGGCATGGCCCAGATAATGCAAGTGGTCCGAATGCTTCAAGGGCAGCCACTGTACCGGATTAACCAGACTGCGGACCGAATCACATTATTGCAAAATGGCAATTAAGCCCAAAACACACGTTATGGACAAACACAGACGTATGTGTGACCCCTGCTGTCCTGCATAGCAATGTGGATATGAGCATCATAATCATTAAACCGTTTTATAGTATGGTGTCGCCATAATTATTCTATTATTAAGTACCAAAACATTTGTCATGCCGGCCATGCCCGGAATAGCTCTCATATTTGTAGTAGCTGCTGCTGTTGCAGCTGTTTATAAATGATTAAACCTGGCCAACTTGAAATGGTCCTAGGACATTGGTCAGTGGTCCTTGGCCCTGGTCGAATATATCCTTGCGGCCTCACACAACGTCTGTGATTGTGCGGTGGCCATGTGTGTGTGTGTGTGTGGGTTGGTTGCTGTTAAACGCAAACTTAGCCGCTTGGCAAATAAACATTTTAGCAAATTTACTGCCAACTGACAGCTGTCAGCTTTATAGCCACCATCAAACAATGGTGAAGAGGGGGCCGGTGTGGGTCGGTAAGTAGGAGTCTGGATGCGAGGTGAGCACAGACCGCAGCTCTATTTGCCAGGTGAGAGGGAATCCTGCGACAACTAAGCACACAACAAGGCACACACACACACACATACGCTGGGACGGAAGCATGGACATGTGGACTTCTACTTAACGCAACTGTTGACAGGACATGGATGCTTTAAATACTATCTTAATAGATTTAAGCATGAACGTTATCCGCACTGTCCACTCTGCGAGTCGGATAACGAAGACGCAGAACACGTTTTTTGTCTGTCCGAGATTTGAAAATGAACGAAGAGATCTGAGCATTAGGGTTGGGAGGACGCCAGCCGCTTGTAACCTGGTGGACATTATCCTTTTTTTAGATGAAAATTGGTCTGCAGTATACAATATGGCCACAATAGTACTCAAAAAGCTGCGCAACGCAGAAAGACTGCGAAATTCCAATAGGATAGAATCCTAGAGAGCCCTAAGGGCATTCCCCCCGGCGAAGTAATACCTAACAGCAGTTCCGCCGGGAAAGCGGGGAGGGGGTGGAGTTTTTACTGGGTTAGAGTCCCAGACTTCGGCAAGCTATCTCAGCTCCGAGTTGGCTTTCGATGCTTTAGACCACCTCTAATAAAAAAAAAAAAAAAAAAAAAAAAAAAAAAAAAAAAAAAAAACACACATACGCTCAGGTAGGAAGCCTGGGTAAAGCAACTAAGGACACACACACACTAGCGCGATGGAGAGGACACGCAGCCAGGCAGTTTTGCCCACTTAACACTTCATTGAAAAACCACTTGGAAAGCCACTCCACCCACGACGGCAGAATCCACGTGAAAGGGAATGCAGTGACAGTTAGGAAAAAATATACAATTTGGGGCAGAACTTATAACTTTAAAATTTTATAAATACATATTTTATTTTATAAATATTCCTAATATTATGGCTTTGCTTTACAAAAGTGTAAGTGATCACCACTGACTACGAAACTGAATATTCTATGGTAGCACAGAACCAATGTATTGAAAAAATATTCCTAGTTCAAATAGAGATATAGTCCAGTCACTTTATTTTAAACCTACTTTATACAAATTATTTTAAAACCCTTTCACCTTAAAACCCTTTTTCTTTCTAGAGCAATCTGAAGCACTTAATGGCAAAATTAATTTTTAATTTTAAAAGAATTTTCCTTAAATAGGGCTTAATACATTTTTATCCCTGTGTAATACGGAATGAGCCTTTACAACCGAGAAAATAAACTGTTTGCGCTGCATGGGAATGCGACCAAGTTCCTTTTTGTTTGCGACTCCTGGCACTGTCGCTACCACTTCCAGTCCAAGCCAACTCATGATCCTGGCTTGACTTTGTCATTCTGCAGGTTAATTGTGAGAGAGCGGGCCAAAAGCATAGCCCGGCCAATTCCGCTCCGGCTCAAAGCATTCCAGAAGGCAAAGCTGGCCGAGAGAGCGAGCGTGCGCGGACTGTCCACTGCAGGCATGCATATAGTATACAACAAAGAAAAAAATCCACAAGTTGATACAAAAATTGAAACACACACACAAAATGCTTGACATTTTCGCATAGCTCAGAAATTTGCTTCTGCTGTTGCCGCTGCTGCTGCGGTGCTCTTTGAGTTGATGTTTGGATAAAGATTTATTTTCACTTTTGGCATTCCAGTTTATTACACAAATCCGCACGAAATTATATTAAGCGAGAGCTGGTGGCGCTGGACATGGCCAGGCACTGGTGGAATCTCCGGCACAACTGGCTCGCAGGTGAGCATGTGAGTGGGTGGGGGCATTGGGGGGTGGTTCAGGTGGGCTGGGCGGCGGTTCTGCGGTCGGTGCATGCTCCGTGTTATTGTGGTGGCCACCCAGTTGCCATGGCAGCCAAAATGGCCACTTACTGGCTCATGCGTTCGAGCTTAATGCCTCCACTTGCGTGCCTGGCTGGTCCAATCAGCAGGTGAAGTTTACAAAAGTTCGGTGGCATAATTGGGTTGATTCCCTCACCATTTATTGGTTTTCGATTCGGCAATCATGGCCAGCTGAGTGTAAGGTGGGCACTGGCTGCACTCGACGATTTAATTGTTACAACATCTAGTGGCTGGCAAATTGAAATGGCCAAGTGTCAGATGCATGTAGCGTTGAGCTGCCAAAACAAAGGACTTAACTACTGACACCGAGGGTTAAACGTTTAAATTTCAATTAAGCCAAAAGCCCCACACGCTTGGCAACACACACACACACACACACATTCACATCCCCATCGGCACTCAGCAGCTCCAGCCAACGTTACAGCTCATAAATTTCTTGACTTGTGTCAGGATGTGTTAGTTTGGCCGACATTCCACTCGTCCTAGCAGCGAAAGCCAGAAAAAAGTTCCCAGCCGTGGCCCGTCAAAGGCAGCCAGCAACTACTTTCAGTAGCCGGAGGGGCTCCACTTTCTAGGAAGCGGGAGCGGGAGCAGGAGCAGGAGCAGCCAAGAGGAGCATCCGATGTAACCCCTGCTAAGGCGGCCAGTCACTTAAATGCCCCAGAAATAAACTGAAACTGCACACAGTCTGCTCAAGTTAAGACAACTTTTGGCAGCTGCATTTGAACACTCACAAAGGGTTAAATGTGGCTGCTGAAAAGCAAACTCGGCATGCTCTTTATCAGTCACTAATGATTTGCAAG